TATATTCCAAATAAACTTGTTCAAATGAAAAATAAATTCTAATTTGGAGGAGATCTTCACAACAGAACAAAAGCCTTATCAAATAATGAGAATCTGTCTCTTAAATACGTTTTACATAAAGTGTACATTAAAATCAAATATTAAATCTGGCACAAATACCAAAAGATATTTGAACACTTTGGTCAATTTTTAATTTTTGAAAATAGGTATTTGTATATGTATATATGAATGTGAAAATGCAAAGGTTTACTCAACAAACATTTGTATATAGTTTTGTATATAGATTATATTGAATACATATTATATTCAATATAATCAAACATTTGTTGAATAAAGCTTTGCATTTGCAAATCTGACATGCATATACAAACACCTGCTTTCAAAAACTAAAAATTGATCAAATTGCTCAGTAAAGTAAAGTGATAAATAATAAGGAGATTCAATCAAATCAAATGAATGTTTATGGGACAGAATGCTTCCCTTTTTTCACCTAGGACACTATGTCAACCTCAGTTGCTCATGAGAATTATCTGGAAGCTTCCAAAAGTTGATGCCTAGACCACACTAGTTAACTCAGAATCTCTAGAGATTGGAGGACCTGGTTGGTTTTCAAGATCTCCTGGTGATTCCACTGTGTATATCATTTCAGTCTGAGACCTACTGACCTAGGACAAGTAAGGGTTAATTGGATGAAAGATTCATTAATTTGACAGATAGAATCAATACAAATGGAAGGGGCACTTAAGTGACCTTTCTTTTTGACCTAGGCTTTCAATATGCATTCTTTAAAGTAGTCAGTCCTTGAAAAGCCTTTGCATGACCTTGAGCAAGTCACTTAAACTCTTTATCATGCAGTTTCCTCACTGTGAAATGGGGATTATCCTACAAAGATTAAATGAATTATGTGCAAAACATTTAGTCAAGAGCCTGGCACAATACATTTGTTTATTTATTTCTTTTTAAACACAAGTAATATTTGCACAGTGGGGGAAAAAAAGAAAGTATAGATGTGCAAAGAAGAAAGATTTATATAGTCCTACCATCCAGAGATCATTGTTTTTTCTACTTAGGGCAGATTATTCAGCATTATATTTATATTTATATTAAAATCATAGTACACAGAGTCAGTAAGACCTGTTTTGAATCTTGTCTCTGTCCTTTTCTAGTTTTGTGACCTTAGGCAAGTCATGTAAACTATCAGTGATTTTCTTTCTTATTATTTGACTTTGTTGCTTTATACATTAGCATGTTTATTATGTTTATTATTGGTTTCCTCACTACAGAATGTTAAGGCTCCAGGGGGGTAAAAGGGACATTGTCTTATTCACTACCCCTAGTACTTGGAAAGCCCCACGTGGATACATAGAAGTTGTTTGAGAAATATTTGTTGAATGAATGAATGCTTAGATTAGGTAGGCTTTCCTCACCCCCAAGACTATATAATTCTTTATAATTATTTTCATTTAAAATTTATTATAAAATGTTTTTTTCTCAGTAGTAAGCCAGTTGTTCCAATATCACCATTAAATATAACTGTGGCTATTTCATTTGAATTACCATCTTTATCATATTATGTAATGTTACATACATTTGGGTCTGGATCTGGGCTTTGTAGGTATTGTACTGACCTGTTTGACCTTGGCTTAATTGACTGTGACTGTACACTGTCTTTTCATTTCACATGTAGCATAACCCCTTATTGCTCTTCTTTAAGGTGGTACTGCCTATTCTTGCATGTTTCTTGTTCCAGATGAACTTTAGAATAACTTAGTCAAGTTTAAATACAAATTGTTTCTGTATTTTTGAAGAAAGTTAAGACTTGACCCTTACTTTATATCCTACACAAATATTAAGTCAAAATGGATCATAGAACTACTCATAAGAGACACATAAGAGCTAAAAACCATATTCTAGAAGAGGACATGAGAAAGTCTTTAGACAGGACACCCACCTCATGAATCACAGAAGAAAAAATGATAAACTTATCAAAATTTTTTTTTCCCTTGGGATTTTATTTTATTCCTTGATTTTGTTGAAAATGAGTTGGGCCTAAAGTGAGTTTTTATAATCACACCATGTGACTCATTTCTTCTTTGGAAGCCAGATCTTCTCTCCCACTGTGTAGTCTCATCTAGTCTCCCCGAAGTACAGTGCTAGCGGAGTTGATAATGAAATGCAGTCCTACTTATCACGCTCAGCAAAGGACTCAGAGAAGACAGGGGGAAAAAATCAATCCCACAGGAACTTCTTGAGTGCTAGATATCCATATTTAACCCCCATGTATTTAAAATGGAAATGAGATATTTAGGGTTTTAGTTTTTGATTTACACAAGTTGTCACCACCTCCTTGGCAATGGGAATATTTTACAGACCAACTACTGACCTGTTTGGGAAGATCTTAGCCTGTCATCTCAGGTCCAGGGTAGTTTCTTCATATTTCTTTCAAAACTCTCAGCAGTGCTTTGCAGTAGCTTTGATTCTTCAGGCTTCAAAGGATGCCCCTTCCAGGGCCAATCTGTTAGTCCATTTTTGGGTTCTGTAATTCTGCTGCTGTTTTGTTCCTTCAGCTTTTCCTTTGTTCTTATACTCCACAGATGAGTGAAATCATTTGGTATTTCTCTTTCTCCGCTTGGCTTATTTCACTGAGCATAATACTCTCCAGCTCCATCCATGTTGCTGCAAATGGTTGGATTTTTCCACTTCTTATGGCTGAGTAGTATTCCATTGTGTATATGTACCACATCTTCTTTATCCATTCATCTACAGATGGACATTTAGGTTGCTTCCAATTCTTGGCTATTGTAAATAGTGCTGCGATAAACATAGGAGTGCATCTGTCTTT